CCACAACGGCTTTTAAGCCTGAAAACTCAGTTACTCTCACGCAAAAAATCTCCAAACTGGATAATTTCCATTGAATTAATCCTTGAATCGTCCACTTCCAGCACCGACTTAAAACTTTTGAGTAATTGGCGGCAATTTGCTTTGTTTGATTCGGGCCCATTCGAACTTTCACAGGCTTAAAGCAATTTAATTAATTAGTTCCCAACTTAGCTTAATTAATTAACTTTTAACGTTTCAAATTTATGAATATAAGCAACCAAACAAATGTTTTGGGATTTCCCAACTGTTCTATTTCCGTCTGTTTACGCTTGTATGAATGGCTTGTTTTAATTAGAATTATCCATCAGCAAGCTTTGAAGCATTAAGCGGCTAAAACGAATCAATTTCAGGAAGAAGACCGAAGAAGAACTGGCCGATATTTAGCAGTTACAGTTATTCTGTTTATTATCGCGCTTGGACTTTATCACACAGTCTCTCGATTCGCTTCTGATGCTTCAGCATTGGTGAGCGCAGCTATGATTATGTTTCTATACCTTCTCTGGTTATGGTATGCTTCACAAAGACGCAAACTTCAGTTAAAGGTACAGTTTCACATCAAAATGTTAATTAGCGAATTTCCGAGCTTTATTGGCTTGTTTAATATAATGTTCATATAATTTTCTATTTTGCTCTGTATCAGTATAAGACATTTTATTTGTCCATGTTTTGCACAATCTACATTAACTTCTATGTTCGCGCTTTGGTTTAAAATTGAGCTTCCATTCTGGAACGCGGCTGACGCTGGTCATCTCACTTGCACCCATGGAGTCCAAGAGAGATGCAAGATCAGTTGAGGGTTGTTGTGTTCCAAATTGCTACTTTCACGCCTTGAAACGGGCCAGCTTGGAGAAGGACAAGTTGGAAAAAAAGCGTATTTGCCAATTTTGTGTTGCATTTAATATTAATAGAGAGATTCTATAGAAAACAAATAACGCGAAGATGATTATTAATGAATTAATTAATTTTTTTAGAGAAACGAGTTGTCAATGGAAAATCAAGTAACAACAGTTCTACAAGCACTGAACAATATCAAGCACGTGAGTTTGGAGGAAGATGTGCAGAAAAACTGCATCTGCCCAACCAGGCAGGATGAAGTGGGCAATAAATTTGCAAAAAGTGACGTGAAACTAAATAATGAAAATGCAAATGTTCGAGTTCTGAAAAAGCACGCAAGTGTGGATGACTGTGGGCCGAAAAATTGGCAATTTGATGAATCGTCGGATAAAGACAGTGAAAAATTTATTCGAACTTATTCGGTAGGGTAGTTTGGTGAGCGGTTTTCCAATCTGGAGGATTTTGGCTTCATTTTCCACTACAGTGACTGTGCAGCGAAAACACGCTGAAATCGTTAAAATACCAAAGAAAAGTTACTAGAAAGTTGGAAAATTTGTAAATTAAGTGTGAAAAATGATTTTTTGGCGGGCGCTTGTATATTTATGCACAAACTTCGCTTTGATTCAACTTGTAAATAAACACTTTCTTCTTAACGGGCAATTTTCATTTCAATATCGCGAGTCTGACACGTAATTTGCGTCTGGGTCGTTAAACTGCCTTTTTATTAGGTAGGCCGGATCTTCCATAATATTTTTAGTTTCAATGAGTTTGCAATAAAAAGTTTTTTTACGATTTCCACCAAAAGCGCCAGTCAAGCTTTGAATTAAAATACAAAGAATTCTGCCTGCGCCCTGATAAAACGCGCAAAAAAATTAACACTTTGCTTGAAAAAATGCAGGCGAATGGCAAAAATCTCCACTTGTCTTCATCAGAAAAATCCATTTCTTTCTCATGCGAAAACCAATATATTTTTAGAGATTTATCCAGCTGTGCACCGTTATTGCTCATTAAATAAACTGTTCTAATGGTGAAGCGAATTGCCAAATAATTATACAGTTTAATCACTCCAGATTTTCAATATCTGATAAATGCGTTTTCAGGCAATAAAGCAAAACCGGCGCATTTTTACGATGTTTATGTGGTAATTGCCAGCGGAGAATTTACACGATTTAAAATCACGTGTAAACATTCAAATACCTCTATGATCTACCTATGATGTATCTAAAAATACGGTTTTTGTATATCAGCAAAAAATTATTTTCGTTTTTCCACAGCTCACAGTTGTTTGCTGTGACGAATTTGGCCATTCGAAACGCATGGATTGCTGCTGCATTTCCCGAAAACAAACATTTCCCGAAAAAAAACCGGTTTCGCATTAACAACATTTATTGCCTAAAATGGTTGCGATGTTTAAAATTTCATTCCGACACACAAACAGCATGCTTTTAATATGCCCCCGAGGAAACAGTTGGATAATTTAATTGCGTTTGTCCGGCCAACGAAATGCAATTTCTGAAAAAGACATTCTTTTCAGTGGAAAATGCATCAAGGATTCAACATTTCCTCTAGTTCTTTATGTTGTTTGCCTCATAATTTCGTTCATTTTCACGAAATTTTTAAAATCAAATTACCATTTTTAAGCCCTTTTGGTCTTATTGGTCTTCAAAGTTTGCAACATGAAAATTTCAATTGCCTTGCGCAATTTCCAGAAGATGTTTTGTGAATGGCGCACGATTTTCGTTGATTTTTGCATAATTTCACGATTTTCTTTGCGATTTTTATTGGCCATTGGCCATTTTAAAGACGATCGCTTAGTCGTTTTGAGCTTCAAAGTTTGCATCATCAAAATTTAAATTTATTTGCGCTATTTCTAGAAGATGCTAAGTAAAGAGCGCGAGATTTTACTTGATTCGCTCATGCTTGCGCTTCTTTTCGAGCGACTTTCGATCTCAAATTACCATTTTAAAAGCCATTTGAGACTCTTGGTCTTCAAGGTTTACACTTCCAAAAATTCCACTGTCTTGCTTTATTTCTAGAATTCTAGAAAATGTTAAGCGGAAAGTCAAATTATCATTTTAGAGTCTTTGAGTCTTCCGAGACTTTAAAATCTGCACCTTGAAAATTTCAATGGCCTTGCGCCATTTGCAGAAGATTTTTGCTGATTTTCCGCAACTTTTCTTGTACTATTTCTAGAAGACGTTAAGTGAAGAGCAAGATATTTTCCTTGGTGCACTCGTGACTCGATTTTTACTATGAAATTTCCATTTTTAAAGCCGTTTGAAACTATTGAGCTTCAAAATTTGCGTTTCCAGAAATTCTACTGTCTTGCGCTAGTTCTAGAAAATGTTAAGTGAAGTGAGCAAGATTTTCCGTAATTTGCTTATAACTTCGTATTTTTGCGCGATTTTCAAAACCAAATTACCAGTTTAAAGGCATTATTTTAGCCTTCTGAGTCTTCAAAGTTTGCAACTTGAAAATTGAAATTTTCTTGCGCTATTTCTAGAAAGTTCGCGCAAGATTTTCCTTTATTCACTCATGACTGCGTTTCTTTGTGCGCAATTTTCAATGTCAATCTTCTGTTTTAATGGCCGTTTCGAACTCGTCGTCTTCAAAGTTTACATATATGAAAATTTAAATGTCTTGCGCTATTTCTAGAATTCTAGAAAATCTTATGTGAAGAGCGCCAGGGTTTTTAATTTGCTGATTACATCGTTTTTTGCGTGATTCTCAAAATCAAATTACCAGTTTAAACGCATTATTTTAGTCTTCCGAGTCATCAAAGTTGGCAACTTGAAAATTTCAATTGCTTTGCGCCATTTATAGAAAAAGTTAACAAAGTGGCGCACGATTTTCGTTGATCTTAGCAAAACTTCGTTATTTTGTGCAATTTTTAATAACGATTGGTCATTTCAAAGGGCGCTTGGTCCTCTTGAGCTTCAAAATTTACATCTTGAAAATTTCAATTTTCTTTCGCTGTTTCTAGAACGTGTTTAGTGAACAGCGCAAGATTTTCCTTGATTCGCTCATGACTGCGTTTCTTTGAGCGCAATTTTCAGTCTCAACCTGCTGTTTGAATGG